GCCCTAGCACAGTATAATAATAGGTAGGGACGGTGCCTACCTATTGCACGACTGCAAAATTTATAGACGATAAGACCTAAAACAGGCGAATAATGGCATAATAATGACGTGGCGAATAATTACATTATTAATAATGTAATATTACATATCATTATTATGCCAATCGGCGGATGGCCCACGGGCAATAACGTAAATCCGCCGATTGTATCCGGGGGCCATCCGCCGATTGTAGATATACAAAATATATATACATATATATAGCAGGCGCAGGCCTGAGCAGGCAACACTGTAGGGGCCCTATTGCTTGCACTAAGTGTCCAGCTAGTTAGGCCAAGGCGCACTTAAATCACTGGGCTAAATGCCCTCTGTTGTTCCAACGAAACACGGTAAAAGCACCCAACTCAGGATATCCTGAGCAGTGTTTTTTTAAGTAATATATTCCTTTTAAGGAATAAAGAGGCCATTTTGGCCTTTGGAAATAAGGAACAAATTGAGGCCGATCCGTACATTTTCATTCCTCCAGCCAAAAACGTCCATTGCTGCCAGATTGCTCCGTAGTGTGCAGAACTTAGTATTATCGATCATAGAATAGATATGAGGGGCCGTAAGAAGGTCAAGCCCGTGAGTCAACGCGGCATAGCAGAATGTATGACCGGTACTTACATAGCCAAACACGCAAAAGGCAACGACTTGAACGCCGAAATAGGGGGGTCCTTGTGAAGCAGCTGCCCGCGTTTCCAAAGCCCGTATGGTGTTGGATTGTAAGGTGCCCAAGTACGTTTGCGAGGAAGAGAATGTGCCCAGGCTGGAGAGGAAAGTGCAGTGGCATATTGGAATGTGAGATTAGGGTAAGCGAGTTACAGGGCGTTTTATTGCACGGGCGAATTGACGTGCAAATCTTTCAACGTAGCATCAGTCCTCAGTTCACTTCTTGGAACGAACATCAGCATAGGTCCAAGCCCTCTCGCTTGGAGGGATATGCAAACAAACATCCTGATAGGGGTAAACTCGCACGCTACCGAGCATTCAACCGAGCACATGCATGCTTAGTTAAATGGTGAGATGCGACCCCCCCTTCATTTCGTGCTCGGCAAGCCTGCCACCGCGTACCGGATATGTTGGCGATGTTACAGAACGCCGTTCTGTAACAGCGCGCGCTGCACCTTGCGCAGCGGCGCTGCACCTTGCAGCAGCGGCGCTGCACCTTGGTTTCTGTGCGCATTGCGTACGTTGCTCGACCCCGCCGACCAAAACTACACGTGCTCAACTGAAGACATTCCCGGTGGTTGTGCAGCAGCTCTTCAGGCGGTTGCTGGCTGAAATCCATCCTGAGCTGTTGCAACACGGCTAACGCGGGCACGTCCCTATGCACAGCAAATAGCTGTTCCAAGCCAACAGCGGCGTCCATGTCACCGACAAGGCTCTAAACGTCTTATCTGTTCTTATGTTTAATTCAGTTTATGTATGTTATACTTTGCGCAACTTTGTAATTTGACTTTACTCTGAACAAGGTGCTGCACACAACTGCCTCTTCGCCAGCGCTTCATCTTCTTGCGGCAGTTTCACGAGCCCAGTGTTGCAAGCTACGACGTAGGCTTTTGGTGCTTTCAGATACTGCAAAGCAGCCACGCAATAGTCCAGCCTGTATGCCGGGTGCGACTATGGCCAACATGCCCACCTGCGCAATGCGCTGGCGCACCTGGTCCTTTTCCGCCAAGAAAATTTATATACACTTGTACAGGCGCATTTGGAGAATCGCACGCGCGCATCTGCGCGGTAAAATTCGCTCCTGGCTTTTGGGGCGTCATGTACGGACCTTTTATTCGCGAAGTACGACCGGACACATTTGTGCGAGAGGCTGCTTAACAAACACCAAAACAGCAAGATAAGCCTGATTTTTTTCCTGATAAAGACGTTTGGGACGGCGGTGCTGTTGTCGGTAATGCATCGGCAATGGTGTTGCTGCCAGCGGCGACCGATGACACGGGCGCCATTACCCCTGCCTTCCATGGCGGTTGTGATCAGCATAAGCGCAAGCTGTCACCCAATCAGCTCGACAACAACGAATGCGGCGAGGCGCCCAACCCGCACCTAGCATTATGTGTGCGGATGTTTACCCAGGACCTGTTCGACCTGGGCACGTTCCCGTTCCGTGACGCACTGAGGGAGTGGCTGGACAGCAGCAGCAGGGGCCGGTACATGATGAACCGGTAGAGTCCTAGTGTGCTGTGGTTTGCAGTGGCGGGTGACGGCCTGTGATTTGCTATGCGGTTGCTTGCTTTGGGCCTTTGCTTTGTCGGATTTACTTTTTGTTCACAAACAATGCCAGAACTATGTATGCATGTGCATGAAGAGTGCGCACATGAACGAAAACGCGCCAACGCAGTGCGTGCCTCTTTGTCTATGAGGGGAGTTGTAAATTATGGGGGGGGGTCTGGGGGGTCCCCCAGCGCCCCCAAGGAATACATTACGGTGACGCTAGCAACTTTGTTACTTAGGTTGGAATAAATTGAGACCCCCCCTAAATGAAAAAAAAATCACTGATCCTGAGCCGGTGAATGTGCGGGTTGCCTAAAGTGGGCAAAACCGGATGCGAACCTCCGCCCCAAACGGACCACAGCACACGCGAAACGCGAAACGCGACGAATGCCTGACACGGGCAGGGTGGGCCCATCTTGAGTTCGGAAATATTGCCTCAAAAGGGCTCGCCCGAACGGTCCAGGTGCTCCATAGCCTTTACGTAGGAGATCAACTCCGTGAGAAGAATATGAACGCCAGCGTGTAGAAGAAACGTGAAAGGCGAGGCGAAAGTGGCCATCATGAGGCAGCGTTATTTTTTTGCGGAATATATTCCGAATTCGGAATAAAAAATGTTCGTGGTCCTGAAAGTTAAGAATAAATAATGTTCCAACCGTTTTTCCTCCAGCCAAAAATGGACTGTCCATGCCAAAGCCGCTAGAATCTTACAGGAGACATACATGTTACCCATATCATAGTACTTTAATGCCATGGATACTGTTAGGAAGCTCACGCCCAAAAGTCAACGAGGAATCGGACTGTTTCTGACCGGACCAAACGCTGCAAAACATTCGGACCCGAAGCTCCCAAAGCATTGAAGGCCATTAAAGCAGATACTAAATTTCACTGAAGCCATTAGCGACGTTAATGAAGACGGTGTAGGGGTCGTAGGCAATGTGGATGCAATGCTGCAGCCAGCCGACGACAATGACGCCATTCCGGTTGTCAACAGCGAGCGGGCCAAACATCAATGTTCCTCATATGGATACAATCGCGATGGGCCAGGAAACAGGTTGCGTTTGGTGGTTCCGGTTCATTGCTGCTATGCATCATTACTTCTGCAACCTGGAAAGGCTTGCAAGGCTTGCAGCACCTTTGAGCGGCACCCACGGTGTGGTGCATAATGCCGAACAAGAAGCACAAAGCTTCCACAAAACTGGGAACACCTACAGCCTTTATAAAGGATAACCTTCCAACCTATCAATCAGGCTTTTTTTAGGCATCGTCAAAAGTGTTAATCCGAGATTGTACCTGGTGGCCACCACGTAGCAAATTTGTCCCACCAAGTTTGAGCTTTTAGAATAGGAAGAATTCGCGCATTTCATAGCATATTAAACTATAATTAAACTATAATTAGCGCTTAACGTGCTGCGCAACTGTTGTATGCTTAAGATGGCTTATTAATTCGCTCTTCCCAATCGTGTAACGATTTGGCATCCCATTTGGTGTGGACTCTATCCTCTTCCACTTGGTATCTGCTAAGCGATCCTCATTGCCTGTACGACGATCATACATCAACTGTCCCGCGTAATCGGCCAGTTGGTAGAGCTTCACTCAGCGAGGGACTCTTCTGCTGCTGAAGATAAGCTCACGTAATTACAGACTATGAGGATGATAATTACATTCGCCATCAAACCAGAGCAAGAGTTGAAACACTAGCAACGGTTCTAATGAAATATTATGATATTATTATGATATTATGATATTACGTGCCTACCGAGCCCCCACCCTCCCGACCCCTTCATCATCGGTCCCCTCAATCACGACGGGGTCCATGTCCTGGAGTGATAAACCTTTTAACATGTTTTTCAACATGTTTTTCAATGTTGCTTCGTCTCATGATGGTTTCCGTCCGGGTGGCGGGACCCCGAGCAGCGCAAACCGCTGTTACAGGTCGTAGATACTTTTGAGGCGATTGCACACGTTGCCACGGCGGCGTGATGCAGTGTGATGATGGCGGTAATAAGCTTGGTGCACACACACACACACATGCTCACACACGTGCCTTAGAACCGGGACGGAAACCATCATGAGACGAAGCAACATTGAAAAACATGTTGAAAAAACATGTTAAAAGGTTTATCACTCCAGGACATGGATCCCGTCGTGATTGGAGGGGACCGATGATGAAGGGGTTGGGAGGGTGGGGGCTCGGTAGGCTGCGCTATTGGTTATCACACGTTATTTTCTCGCAGGTATATGAAGAACCCTGCGGCCCCTATCCGGGCTGCGAGTCTTCGCCTAAAACCGTCCACTGCCATATGTGGTTGGATATCCAACCAACCCGCCATCAAGCACCCTGACGTGGCGCACATACATCTATGCCAGTGAATTTAATCGTGGCAGCACAGGGCCAGGGGCAAATCGGCGCCGACCTAGGAACCTCGTGCAAGAAGGAACCTCGTGCAAGAAGTTGTGGACAAATTTTTTCGTGATGATCTCTATTTTCGGAGCTTTTCGAAGTTCGTGACATTCGAACTCGTACCCCTTGCGACAACATAATCCTCATCCTTAACAATGGCTTTGATAATACACATGTGATATGAACACATCAACATGACAAGTCATGGGGATAATACGCCTATATTTTGTATCATTGGTACTTAACTTAGCCTATCCTCTCCGGCCAAGCCATCTCTGCATCAAGGGCTACTTATGCCATGCTTCGCATAGTCGTCAATACTGCAGGAACCTTCCACCTATTAGTACGGCACCTGGCTGGCGGGGCAGCAGCTGTTGTCCGCATTGAGCAGCGAGTACGCGCAGCTGTTTCCGTAGCACAGCCCCGCCGGAGTGCCACACCTGCTGTTTCGACTCATGGCCAGACATACATACAGGCCGCCAGCGGGGGTTACGGGGAAGGTACTCGCCAGGGACGTGATCGTCATCACACCGTACGTCTGCTCCCGCCATGTCCTGTAGCTGTAGACGGGGGACACCGTCACACTGTTGACGGTGGTGACCCTGAAGGAGTTGGGGAAGGACTCCACGCAGCTGGGGTCTGCGGTGAACCATGTAGGCCGGGGAGGGTGTTTGGGGTCGGGGGGGAAACAGGGCGGAGTCGGTGTTGATTATCTTGATTAATATTGGAGGGGAAATAAAGCTCCCTGCAGCTGGGTGAGCCGTGAGCGGATGAAGGCGGTGTGCGGAGTGAGGGACCCCTACACACACCACACACATACATGCATGTTGAGCGCACAACTGATGAGGTGCATGGAGGTCACCACGATGATCACGACCAGCTAGGTAGCTTGGGTAGCTAAGTAGCTAGGTAGCTAGGTAGCATATAGCTACTCACCGATGACGATTTGAAGCTCATTGATGACCATTCTCGCACATGGGCTGGTGCTGTCCACTGTTGCTGAGGCGGAGATCCGGAAGCAGTAGGTGGCGGCGGTGGCGGTTACGTTGAACGGCCCCATGGGTGACGTCATCCGGTACGGTGTGAGGCTGACGTCACTAGCGCTGCAGGACGAGAAGGGGAACTTGTTGACGAGCAGGTTGTTTGCGGGTCGAGGTGGAGGCTGGGGTGCCTTGGGGACTTTGGGGGGTTTGGGGGCTCGGGGAGACCTAGGAGCCTTAGGTGCCGGTGGGGGCGGGCGGGGTGGTGGTGGTGGAGAAGGGGAAAGTGGGGGGGGAGGGGATGGCGAGGGTGGCAGGGGAGGGGGACTGAGTGGGCGAGGAGGGGGCGGCTGAGGAGGAGGGGATGGGGGGGGAGGCGGGGGTGGCAGGGGTGGCGGTGGTGGAGAAGGTGGTGGTGGGGACGGCGGTAAGGGAGGTGGGGGTAAAGGTGAAGGAGGTGGTGAAGGAGGAGGGGATGGGGGGGGAGGCAGCGGGGGTGCCGGGGATGGCGGAGGGGGAGGGGGGGAGGGGACCGAAGGCGGGGGTTGTGGAGGTGGAGAGGGTGGCGGCAAAGGTGGTGGCGGGGAGGGGGACGGTGGTGGTGATGGTGACACTCTTGGTGGCGGTGGTGGTGGAGGTGGTGGTGGTAATGGGAATGGCGGCCTAGGTGGCAAGGGTGATGGAGGGCTTGGTGAAGGTGGCGAAGGTGAGGGCGGCATTGGGGGGTTGGGTGATGGTGGTAGGAGTGGTGGGGATGGCGGGCAGTTGCAGACGCCAAACTCCGCCTTAATATAGCCCCAGGACGTAGGTGAGTTGGCGCACACCGGGTCAGAGGCATTGCCTGCTGACACCCAGTCCGTGGCCAGGTAGGCGGAACGAGACGAATTATTTTTGTCTGTGAACTTCGCAAGGAGGTAGAGTACAATTGGCTGACATTGCGGGATTCCGAGGATCGGATTTGTCAGAATGCCGGTGAGGAGTCCATTGTAGTCCATCGTCGAGGCGAATACCACATTTTGCGGCATGTCCATGGGGAATGAAATATAGGAATTAGAGTCACCAGAACAACTAGCGCCGCCGCCGGGGTAATTAGACTGAAACATGGACTCGGTTTGAACGCTGCCCTGAATGCTTCCGACAAAGGCCCCCAGTTTCACTGCGATATTTATAGTTCCGGGTACCGTTTGGTCGGTCGCGATGGGCTCTGGTAGAGTCAATGCGCTTAAGTTCATAGCAATATAACCCCAACCAACAGATTCCCCTGTCTGGGAATCTCGGAACATCACGTCGATCGAATTTGCAGGGACCCCGTTGCGATAGATGAAGGCGCTTGAGCCGCAGCCCGGGACAGTCTGTGCGAGGGTGCCACCGGGCAGCGCCAGCAACAGCAGCAGTAGGTAGGGGATCAGGCGGAGCATTGCCACGGTTGCGAGGCAGGAGAATAGCGGCAGCTGTTGGCGGTGCAGGTTGTTCGACGGTGACAGAAGCGCGCGTTCCTTTCGGGCGACGTGGACTGCCAGCGTCATTGGTAACATGACCATGAAGATGATGACGACAACGATAACGATGAAGGTGGCGATACTGAAGCTTTGGCTTTCACTGTTGAAACTCGCGAGTCGGTGGACTCCCGAGACGCTCCAAGCGGCTCCTAGCCAGAGGAGGCTCTACAGGGGCATTGAAATCAGATTTTTTACTCAGGTGGCCATTTTCGCAAAATAGTACATGAAAAAACATTTTTAGAGTTGCAAGGCATGTGGCGCGCCTCCTCGCTATAGTTCCAGCCTCCTGCTTAAGGAAAGCAGTACCGGAGGAAGAGCTGAGAGCAATAGACCGACTTACCGTGGAGGCGACGCGAGCCGGTCCAACAAGTTTTATTCAGTAAATACTTTCTGATTTTTTCTAGGAAGTGCTATACTTAAATGTACCGCAAGTTGTAAGGCCCGACGAGCAGGTTTCAGAGACGTACTCGGTCGGTGTAAATCGGTGCCCGACCACCAATGGTGGGCTTTGGTCACAAACGCTTGATGCAGATAAAATCAAGCATTTTTTTTATCTTAAAATAATCAAACATATGTTCCCTAAACGTGCATTCTTAACCCGTAATAAGCGGGTTTCAGGATTTTCCAAACCTGAAACTCCTTTACTACCGAACCACCGTGATCGAGCCAATAAAGAACATGTTTCGTATAATAAAATAGTGACAGATGCTGCCATTTCCATGAGCGTTGAATATTAATTTACAATCGTTATCGCAGCTGGCTATGCGCGGCTACTGCTCAACGGTCGTCGACTTGGATCCCAACGGCGCGTAAGCAACTCTCGGCACAACCTTCACCTTAATTTGTGCGTTGAACTTCAAATTCACATCAAAATTTCCAAAGCACGTGAGAACGGAATATTCAAGGAACTCATATTAACGGTGTGACTGTATCTCTGTACTATATCGGATACAACGGCCGCTCACCTCGAGGCAGCACCACACCACTCGAGGCACAGCTCACACAGCGTCACCCAGCCTGCGCTACAGCCACCCCGTTCGCCTGCCACTCCTCCCAAGCCCTACAGCAACGACCTCTCAAAAAACCTCTCACTGAAGCTGCCTGGCCCAACCTGTGGCGAGGCGAGCCTTCTCCCTCGAAAAGCCCCCGACCCAGACCAACAAAGAGAAACCCTCAGGCCTATCCCCCCCCACCAGCGGGATAGCCCATCTACCGGGTTCCTCCTAGCATCCCTTTTTATCCCCCTGCCCCTTCCTCTCCCAGCCCTACTGGCTGTACTCAACGCAGGCGCCCGTCCACCACTGATAGGATGGAATGGTCGGGGCCCACGCTGTGCCAGCCGTGCTGGGGCACGCCGAGTTCTGCAAAGTCCTAAACCTGCTGCCAGAAGCCGAGCACCGCCTCCAGCCCCGGAGCTGCTGGGGCCTCGGGTGCGGGGTGTGGATTGCGGGGGTTGCCGCCCGCGGTCCCACCCGTGCATGTTCCTTCTGGCGGGCAGTGCTGCGAGGCTGACCACGTCCCACACGCACTGCTGCACCCCTACTGATGTGTGTGTGTGTGTGTGTGTGTGTGCGTGCTGCATTGTACAACAGGTCTACAGTCTACAGGTATACAGAAGGTCTGCGGCTGGTAGGGCAGGTCACTGTTGTTTTACAGGGCACGTGTTGCTTTTTTGCAGCAGACCATTTACAGGGGACCCCTATATCTCAAAAAGGGAATCTAAAAGGTGATTTGATCTTTGGGGCTTAATGACCTAAAGAGCCTTTGCGTCGGAAATGGGGGCAAAGTGTCGAGCTGGTCCAGCTGACAGGCTTAGGAGTGTCAGCACGGTCTGGGCTTGCAATATGTATGTTGTTACAGGGTGGTTAACTTCGCCAGCGGCCCCCTTTCCCGGGGCAGTCCCTGCTCTCCCCTGCTAGAGGGGCACCCTAATCCGTCACCCCATCCGACTTCAGAATGTATTCGTTGGGTTCAGCAACTCACCACCAGCATCCAACCAAATCTAGCGGATCAACGGCGCATCAACTTAGTTCCTGGTCAGCTCGCCCATTTCATCACTCCTCAAACCCCCTCGCCCATTTCATCACTCCTCAAACCCCCGAGGAGCCGGCAGGCGGATTTGAACCCGGGTCGACTGGGTCGACTGGGAGCAGAAGTCAGGCCTTAACCTCTGCCAGCCGCCTGCCATTGTGGTGTGGTATGTTGGTGTAGCTGTCAACCACTTGTGCCACCGCATCAGGCGACACCTCGACTAACCATAGCTGATGACACGCGGTGGCCTGACCAGGCGGCTGGCTGAATATGGTTCCCTTTTCCGCGCGCCTTTGCGCGCCAACCTTTCGCGCCAACGTGCTTCATCTGAGGAATCAGAGTTGGCGCACCTGTCTTCTGTTTTCAGCGACTTGGCATTGCCCAAATTTCGCGCGGATGCCGTCCCGCTTTCTGCTGAGCAGGTACGCGCATTAGCAGTCATGTCGAAAAAGTAGTTAAGTGTCATGGGTCAGGCAAAGTACTTAAGTCGGCAGTGGCTTTCGTCGCCCTCATTTTACCTCCTTTTCTCCCGTTTGCCTTCCTTCCTCGTGGGGCCACAATACAGCTGTAGCGCTATGAGCGAGTTGTGTACGCATGAATTCAGGATTTGGTCGGGCCGTTTCTCGTTCAGCCGCATCGACGTAATAAAACCGATTGGGGCACCTGGGGTCTTAGGTTCAGTTCTTCACCGCCATATCTGACGCTGAAATACTTCCGTGTTTCATATGGAACCATTTTCAGTTACTGTTTCGTAGGCCAGTCCATCGCGCCATCCTTGACTCCCGTACAGGCGTCCTAAAGGCCCCTGCACGCACATATATGTTTCATATTAAATATAAATATAATTTCTTTTTCGCTTCCTGTGAGCGGAAGAGTGCGGGTCCGTTGATCCTTACCATCGCATGGAACCTAGCCGCACAATTTATAACAACAGCCTTTGCATATTTTACTTGATCCTTGCTACTTCAACACTGAACGATGTCCCTGTCCCTGCTTGTGAGGTTTTACATCCAAGCCGACAAAAGCAGTGATCTGCACCGTCATTTTCTTTTTGGCAACCTGTATTGTAAAACACCTTACAGCGATGGATTTACATCGCATCTTAGCTGCGAAAATGACCTGGCGAAGGCCTGAAGGCTTAAGCTTGCTTGGATAGACTCGCCGCACGTAAGTAATTTTATTGGAGCACTGCGGAAAGTGTTCGGCTTTAATTGAACTTAACTTTCAATATATATAGTCCATGGCCTCCCGGCTTTGACGGACCCCCCCGCACTCGTGCGGCACTTGTAACTTGTAACTTAGCACTGTTCCTGACAGGGCGCACGACCGCCACAAGTTTTCGTATAGCTATACCATGCACAAATACATAATAATAACTGCATTTTAAGGTTTTCTAAGATATCCGCCCTTTCCGAACTATTTCCGCAAAGGGTGCAAATATGCGATAATTATCCGCAAAGGCCGGACGACTTCCCGCTCGTACAATGTCTTCGTTGGCGCGAACTGCGTAGCTATTCTATTTCAGCATATCCCCTTAGAGAGTCACAAAGTATATAACTGAAGGGTTTTCGGCGCCCCTGCCTTGTGCAATGACGCTGCATCCCGCGCAAGCCCCGATGGCGTTTGCCCTAGCGGCCGCTTTGGACGAAGTTTTTGCGATTCTCAATGGCAGTAAAATTGACAACGTCATGGAAAAGGAAAAAATGGTCCATTACCACATGCGAATCCACCCCATTATCTGCAATGTCGTAATGTAATGTCGTAATGTAATCTCGTAATGTAATGTCGTAATCTAATGTCGTAATGTAAAATCAACTATAACTGCGGCAGGCGGCCGCAACTACCTTCGCGTCTATTCAACCTTTGCCTTAATAGGAAGGGGGTGTTTCCACTTGGATTAAAAATTGCGGATTAAGGCTTAATCCGTCGCATATGGAAACATCGCGCGGATTAGGACGGATAAGGCGGATTAAGGTTGGCGCAATTAGTTAGAGATTTCCGCCCGTATTTACGCGCTTCGCGGATTAATTATAGATTAATATGCTATGAAATGCGAGCATTCTTCCTATACTAAAAGCTCAAACTTGGTGGGACAAATTTGCTACCTGGTGGCCACCAGGTACCAAATTGACAATCTCGGATTAACACTTTTGACGATGCCTCATAAAAATCCTGATTGATAGGTCGGAAGGTTATCCTTTATAAAGGCTGTAGGTGTTCCCAGTTTTGTGGAAGCTATGTGCTTCTTGTTCGGCATTATGCACCACACCGTGGGTGCCGCTCAAAGGTGCTGCAAAGCATTCATGTTGATACTCGATAGTCTTTTAAATGTCTGGGATTACTCGTTTTTGCATTTTACAGGGTGTTTCCACTTGGCCGCACACTAACATTAAGTTCAAAAAATCTCACACCTGGCTCAGCAAATCATGCAAGCGATAAGAAACTAGTTAAATACATTAATAGAAAGCAAAAGTTCCTTAAAACATCGCGTAAAGGGGCTCCGTACGCGAAAAGCCGAAGGGCCCAGTGGAAACGCCTCGGACACTAAGTCCGCATTAGTGGCACACTGGTTATCAGGGCCTCAGACCTGCTGATAAATTTTAAAGTGGACATTAACTTAATTCATAGTCAGCCATTTTTGGGCGAGGCCCCGGGCGCGAAGCGCCATTCGGGGGGCCGAGCCCCACGGGTTCAATGCTGTCAGTCAGTCAGTCAGTCAGTCAGTCAGTCAGTCAGTGGCTTACATATCTCGCCCCGCAAAAAATAGCGTTTGAATGCTATATCCATTTTATATCGAAATGCCAAATGAGACATTCCAGATAAATCGGAACGCGAAGATACTGTAGCTTTCCATGGCTCCGAGTTGGCTTGCCCACCTAAAAGGTGGTTGGCTTGCCCACCTAAAAGGTGGGCAAGAACTAACATATTGGATGAAATGGACGAGCATGCTCGGACTGAGACACAATTACTCTTTGCGCAATCCGGCAAGGGCGTCGTAAATCGACGCGCTGTGATCCTGGCCTTGGTGCGGTATTATTGCATATTTGTGAAAAAATGGTAAAATGCAATGCGCAGATGTCCGGAAGATGTGCAGCTTGAAAAGGTGGCCGAGCATAAGGCGTTTACAAAAGTTCCTATGACGCAAATCGACCAGACATATGTGATGTGTCACCCTAAATACGGGGAAAGTGAACCATTAGTATTCAATAAATACCCTAAGTAAGTAGAAATAATGAACTTTGTATTCGAGAATTGCAGGAAGATTTGTGTACGGAGTTGAGTAATTAATCTGGGCTGCGCATTTTCAAGATTAAGGAGCAATGTATCACAGTAAGACGAGGGAGAGGAGGTATTGGTAGAGGAGGAAGAGGAATGAGAGGAGGGATAGGGAAGAGGAGGAAGAGGAGGGAGAGGAGTGGGGGAGTGAGTTGAAAAGACGAGGGAGAGGAGGGAGAGGAGGCAGATGATGGAGAGTGGGAAAGGAGGAAGAGGAACGAGAGGGGGGAGAGGACGGAGGAAGAGGAACAAGTAGGGGGAGGAGGGTATAAGGTGGAGAATGGGGATAAGCGAGGAATGGGGAGAAGGAGATTAATCAGTGTGAAATTGAGGCTTAGCTATATGCGGTTACAAAAGTTCTTCTCAAGCGGCACGCAAAGAGGAGTAATTAGGAAAGGAATCGGAAAGGAACTGTAGATATAAATTATAGAACGTTCTTGTCGAAATTCTCGACTCGAGAACTACAGGAAGAGGCGCGTACGGTCGAGAATATGAATAGTAAGGATTGTTAAAAGCGGATTAGGAAGCAAATAGGATGAATTAGGAAAGGAAATGCTGTTTTAAATTATAGGACGTTCTTGTTGAGAACTGCAGAAAGAGGCGTGTACGGACGAGAATATGAAAATTAAGGAATGTTAATGAATCACCGAAGTGTCTCCTTTTGATACTCTCATTGCCGTGTTTGTCTTTAAAGACAACAGGGCCCAGGCTTTAACGAACCCACCCCAGGAATATCCGAACACAACCCAGGCAAACCAGGAGAGGAAATTGGCCTTTGCGCCGCCAAGGTACAAAACCAGGATTAAGACGAAGAAGGCTTTTGCAGTTTGGAAATTGTTTCAGCACCACAAGCAACTGAACACGGCTTTGGACCATTTGCAGATCCTTGAAGATCAGTTTGCAGTTCCCTGACTTTGCTTGGGTTTGATAATGAAAGGGCGGTTATTAAGCCTTTCTACGGACAAGCTGGATGCGGTGTTGGCATCAGTCGGCAAAAAAGGGTATGCGTGCCCGTTTGTGGTTGGGGATTGTTTTTTCGACTCTGTGGCGTATGTGTTAGAACATGTCTACGGCCGCCGGATTACGGGTGCTGAGATTCGAAAACAAGCATCTGCGCACATGCAGCGTGCCATCGGCAGTTATACTCAAGAATTAACAGCATTACAGGAGCAGGCAATAAAGGTGATGGGAAGAAGTTTGTGTTTCCTCAAGTGCAGCAGCTGCAAAATACTGCTGGCTGTAACATTAACCAAGCAGCGGCTGATTCGGACAAGCTGGATGCGGTGTTGGCATCAGTCTGCAAAAAAAGGTACGCGTGCCCGTTTGTGGTTGGGGATTGTTTTTTTGACGCTGTGGCGTATGTGTTAGAACATGTTCACAGGCGGCAGATTACGGGTGCTGAGATTCGAAAACAGGCATCTGCGCACATGCAGCGTGCCATTGGCAGTTATATACAAGTATTAAAAGCATTACAGGAGCAGGCAATAAAGGTGATGGGAAGAAGTTTAACGGAGGGGGAAATATATGTCCAAATGTCCCACGTACATACAGAGGTTTCTCAAGTTGCCATCAGTATGCATGGTCTTGATCTAGATCGATGCGCGAGCCCAGGAGTCGAACGCCTTGTTCACTACACGCACCACATGGCCAAATCTGCTGCGTTTGGAGGACCTTGGGCAGATGCCCTTATCTTTCCTTGGGTATCACGTGCACTAGGAATTCAACTAGTCATTTGGGACTCACAGTCGCCCCAGCCAGTCGAAACCCATATCTACGGTGTAGAAACTGTTGAGGTTGCGCGGCATAATGATCATTACGAGCCTGTTCTGTGCCTGTGCCTGCGACTGTGCCTGTGACTGTGACTGTGCCTGCGAACACCACAAATCCTGGTCAGGCAAATAATAGCCCAAACGCATTTGCGCATACATCAACTGACATTCCTGTATTATCACAATTGCAACATACCACCGCACGCCGGTCATGACCGATCAGGCTATGTTTACGAAACCAATGCACATCCTCATCAGCCGCAAGACGCAAGACGCAGCAAGATATGTGGCCTTCACCATCTCGATGCTAGGCGAGGATGGTGCCGCCCGACACCTGCCAGTAAGTCCGACATGCTTGCTTTATTTGTCTGTTAGACCATTTCCTCCCTCAATCACCAGTATCCTTACAACATAGACTAATCTTGCGGTGGTAAATATGCCGGTTCTCTTCGAATACACAGGGAAACCTCAAACATCTTTACACGAATTTATTGTAATTCACATTATATCCGTCCCCACAGATGGTGGTTTGGCACGCTGACGGAGCTTTCTCGTGCTTGCCACAAATGCTGGAGTGGGCGGCGGACCACAAACAACCAATCCTGTGCTTTGGTGCACGCAAGGCAGGTATGTACGAAAAATGGAAACACAACCTGCGTACAGCAAGGCGACACAATGCTATCGTTTAACACAGCGCAGTAATTTCCAACACGCTTTTACCTGACATTTAATCGGACAGGTTTCCAGCAAAGATTCCAGCATTCAGAATTTCCGCCTGTTTCCCACGTCAAACTCTTCCCACAGAGTTCAACAATGCATCCCGGGTGCAGTCGACAAGTAAAATGCACATCCTCCTGAACGGGGACGTTGACAAGGATGACGAGCTCCTAGAAGCTTGCATGCTGGAGGACAACAACGTGCCGGCAACAACTCGCAACAACCTTGCCGACAGCACCTATACAGGCTCTGTCATCATCATCCAAGACCTCATCGATCGCATTCAAGGCCTGGACGACATCCTGTTCTACAGGTACGTATACTTGACACATGTGGTCATAGGCTCGTCTTTCCCTTGAATAAATACTGCCACGCCAAGTAAATCTCAAATCTGCATATCCTGCTTCTTCGTAGCAAAGTCCAGCACCCAGCCGCTCACTCAATAATACTTACTATTCATCACTTTCACAACTGCACCCTTTTCGCCTATTACCACAACTCCTTCAGGTGCACCAACAACACCTGCGGGGGCACAATCCTGAACAACACCTGCAACCTCTGCAACAAACATCCAGATGCACAAATTCCCGTCTTGCAGCCTCTGACGGCTTGCCTTGTCTTGGGCAACAACAGCAAGTTGCATCAGCTCTGGGGCAAATTACGGCACGGGAACAACGGCAACCCGGACTTGTACCGCGCCCTGCATGACTTTAGCGGCCTAGAACGAGTCTTGGGACGCATGAGGCAGCCAGTCCAAGGAGCCTTCGTTGTCAACAATGGCGACATCCTTCGGTACGGAGTGACAACGGCTTCATTGGCCGATTCCATGCTCGGAACAAACCAAGAATCCGGCCCGACGACAAGCAAATTGGCCACGCACACGCCTGTGGCAGCAGCAACGTCTGTCGTCACCGCCATCGCAACCACCGCAACGACACAAATTACTGGACGCCGCCGGCACATCGCAACAACAGGCGGCAAGGATGGCCCCAGCAAACAACTCTCTGGCGCCTGACTACCGTGGATGCACTTTTGAGGGGACCAACAGGATGCGCCGCCCTGTTTTATCATCACACCCGCGCGGCAATCAATGCATTTGCGTCAAGGAGCGTTCAGGAGACCACATCACAATTATGGATACTGTCATGCATTCCGAACTTATTGCCTGGGCTGTGTGTGGTCTGTCTGGATAAATAGTGATGGCCAACATTCATAGATGTGTACGTTGATAATAAGTTGCAAAGAGACAATGCTCGCTTTTTGTGTGAGTTCTAAGTGCATCCGCGTCTTGTCCATTGTAGTGTGGCAACTCTCTCCCGGAGTTGTCAGGTCCATGCCTGCCCCAACGGCACATGACGTACACGAACTTCCCGTACCTCCTTTAAAGTGAATTGTGTAAGTTAACCACGTATCTTCTGTCAATCCCCGATGGCGTTTCTTGTTAAAACATAACTTGGATGTTACAGAAATGAGACCTCGCGACTATACTAGGCAGAGGCCAAGTAAGAAGAGATACCCTGTACCGGTAGTTGTAGTGTTACCGCGCTCATTCTTGGTGGCGCCTCTGGTGCGGCTCTTACTTAATACGATTCGGAATATTTTCGCATCAGTGTTGTGTTAACACAGGCTGACTATTCCTCACAGCTGGCGTGGAACGGCTCAAGCCACCAACCCGCCGCTGCGCTAAATTTTACTGCAGAGGCAGAGTCACAGTCGGTACTCAACCTGTATGAATATGTGCCGCAAATGGTGTAACAGCCCATGAACCAATTGCTATTCCTTTACGTTATACTCATCACAACAACGTGTCGAATACGACTGCATGTTGCCCAGCCTGGCAGAAGTGCACACGCTTCTGACTCAGAAAATGCAGCAAGTCTAGCGTGTCCGCTAGGGGAACCAGCAGCCGACGACTTGGAATAACAGGCATTTCTTGTTAGATTGGCGTGCCCTTGTTTCAGCGCGACACACCAGTTACATCCTTGATGTGCCCGTCATTTCATGCATTTCTCTTGGCATGCAAGTGAGCAATCATCTCGGCCGTAACCTCGGCTGTAACAAACACACACACCTCGGCCGCGGAAAATTATTAACACCAGTATCGTCCACGACTTCTGATCAAGCACCCTACATTCCTCTCAGCCATTCCTTTCAGCATAAGTACGTCCACTCCTTCAAGTCGCATTATAAACATGTACGGCATTGAAATACATCTAATTGCCTTTCTTCCATCAATGCACCACACTAATTACACCACACCCATTACAGACTTTGGTAATTCCTGTTTTGGGCAAGCCCTACCTTACGCGTAGCGTGTGTCGTTTATTCACGCATTCGGCATTTACTCGTATCCATGCTGCGGCTAGAGTATGGGCCCAACATAGGTTAGATGTCATTTGTTTACAGGAGACACATCATATGGGAGATGGAGACCTGACAATTCTCACTAGAGAATTGCAATTCGCGGCTCAGAAAATAGGGATACCGGGATGGGATATAATAGCACAATCCCCCACGACCAATGCCCGGACGGCTGGAGTGTTAGTGCTAGTGCGCAAAGATCTTTATCGCGACTTTAAAATAATACAAACACCGGCACGACTACTTCCGGCTAACATTCCCCAAGGCCGTAGCGCGTCGGTTTCGTTCACGTGGTGTGGTCACCGTATTCATTTGATTAATTTGTACCTCATGACATCTAGTTACTCGATAGATCAGAGGAAGGCGTGTGTGCATTCTCTTGGCGATGTGGTAAATAGGATAGGACAGGATGATCATTTGCTTTGGGCTGGAGATTTTAATTTTGTCCATAATCCGATGCTAGATTCCACCACAGGAGAAGGGAGTAGACCCGCGGACTTATCCTTAGCCAAGGCTTTCTCCGAATGCTGCCCGGATATGGTAGACACATATCGCTACCTCCACCCTACCCGTCGCGACCTTTCGTTTTTCTATAAAACAAGTGTGTCGGGAGGGTCACGTCTTGATCGAATCTATACTTCCACAAACCTCACCCCCTTCATCGCTTCCTCTACCATTCCAGTGTGCACTTCGACAGACCATCGTTT